GAAGGGACGTCAGGCACTGGAGCTGTACAGAGGGTTCTGCACAGCATCAACATGCCCAGAAGTGTTCTTTCACAAGCTGTGACCCCCAGCCCTGTAATCAGAGCTGTGGGAGTTGGAGCCTTTTCTGGTGCAAGCCATGGGCTTGCCTTTAGGAATCCAAGATTTAGTCTTGCGTGTAAACTAGCTTTGCTGAGGTTGGTTTTCCCCCATTTGTAGTGGGAAATCCATTCTCACTGGGTACAAGCATTATCAGAGAATGACTTAGAGAGCTATGCCTGTCTCTGGTTCATGGATAACATGTTGCTGATCACCTGAATTCAAACAGACTGATGGGGAAATGAAGCAAGGCCCACAGGTGAGAATGTTTTTCTGCATAGTTGCCTACAGGCAGGTTAGAGACCAGTGACCTAGAGCACGTTAAAAAACATGTCCAACATGAACTATCACTGCTAAAATCAGAAGGCATTTCAAGGATGACAAGGGAGAGGAAGAGGAGGAGGAAAAGACTGTCTTAGGGTCAGATACTCTTCAATATTAACAACTTGGAGGGCAAAACAGAACATTTATGTAAAATTTGTGGATGATGGACAGTAAGCTAAGGCAACTTATGTGGAGTTTGGAGGACAGGGACAGAATTCAGAACAGTCTTCAACAGAATTGAAAGGGAGATAGAAAATCCAAAAAGAAGGAATTAAAGATCAGTGGGGATCATTACATGTGAGGAGAAAGGCACCAGTAAAATTCAGAGAATAATTGGTTGGGCTGTAGCTCCTCAGGAAAGGATCTGAGGTTCAAAGTGCAGCACAGACTGATCATATGTCAACCCAGTAAAAGGCGAGTGTTGTTGGGGCTGTATTAACAGCACTGTCATATGTAACATCACAGCATCACAGATTTATTGAAGCTGGAAGGCACCTCTGGAGATAATCTAGACCATACCTCCCTCTCAGAGCAGCGTCAGCTACAGCAAGCTTCCCAGGTTGGGTTTGGGATATCTCCTATGATGGAGACTCCACAACCTATCTGGGCAACCCGTTCCAATATTTGACCACCATCACAGTGAAAAACTTTAAATGTAATTTCCCATATTTCAGTTTATGCCTACTGCCTTTCATCCTATCAACGGACAGCACTGGGAAGAATATGGATTTTTTGTACCCAGTCCCATCATCCAGGTCATTAATCAAAATGTTAAACAGTATTGGAATTGTATTTTCACACAGAAAACTCATACTTCAGACAATCTGCACCTTTTTAACATGAGTGCAAATTCAAGGTATGTCCTTAGATAACTCATGCTGGCACATTACCAAGGTAACAGAGGCAGAGAGGAATCAGATGCAAGGAAGTTTCTGGGACAGAAAGAACAGGCTACAGGGGGATCAGAAGGAAGCAGTTACTGAGAGAGAGAGGTCTGGAATAAACTTTTACCCACATTGCCTAGAAACATACATAACCTTCACTGCTGCTGAATCACGGGGGTTTTTTGGCTTTGTTTGTTTTCTTTCAGATAACCAACCCCTGAAATAATTATTCCATTCTGGCTGGTGCTGGAATTTTGTATCCAAGTTGGCATACCACATTTTAAGAAAAATATGCACAAATTTAAGGTAATCCTAAAGAGAGCAAGAAGAATTAGAAGTGTAGAAAAGATCGCCGAGAGGAAAAGTTGGAAAAAGAATGCTGGAAAAAGGAAAACTAAACAGTCTTGCAGTGTGCTAACGCTCATTACAAAGAGGATGCAAAGGATGAAATTGGCTTAATTTGCAGACAGAAAGATTTAGGTTAGATGGTGGGGGGAAAAATGCAAAAATATAAGGCTAGCCTTGGACTTCAGGCTACCTAGAAAGTTTAGACAGGTCAGAAAAACATTTCTAACAACGATCCTGCCTCCAAGCAGAACAACAAGCTGGAGGAAACTCATGAGAACCTTTCCATGCCTTTTATGACAGTCTATTTCAAAGGCTGCTCTACCCATTCACAGGGTTTCAGAAAGGTTTACTGGATTAAACATTTAAGAGTTAATAAAACACATTATCAATTCTACACTGTTTCGTTGGTTTTTTCCCATCCAAATAGTAATTGTTTGTGAAAGGGCTGACACTAAAGAGCAACTGCCAGGGTTCATGCAAGTTCAATTCCCATCTGATCATTTTAATGATGCTTGGTGAGAATCTGTTTTTGTGGAATTAACCTCAGCTCTTTGTTGCCTTTAGTTATTTGAATCCAAAGCCCATAAGCACAGCTCTACGTCCTCAAATGAAAATGGAGATTGAAATGAAACTGGGATAGATACAGATTCCTAGAACAAGCCTGTAATATTGTAATTACATTCATCTGAACATTTGTCCGTCCCACTTATAGAAGGGGAGGGTTACAGCTCCAAATTCTCTTGCATGATGGTCTAAGAGCCCAAGGTGCAGAAGTCCAAATGACCAACAAGCTTGGCACTGTAGCCCAACCCAAAGATCTCTTCAAGCACTCTGCAATTGACACGTGTCTGCTGCACTGCTCTCGAAGCACAGTAATTCTGGGCCAATGGACAGGGGGTAAAAAAAGGGAGAAATGAGCTTTGAACAAACAAGAAAAGGGCACTAATGAGGAAGGAGCAGCAGAACTGCAAAAATCTGAAGAGCAAGGAGGTTTCTTCTCAGTCAGTATCTGATGTGTGTGTATGAGCTCTCGTGCTGACCTGAGGGAAGAAGGGACAGGGTGCAGCGAGAGGAAGGGAAGGATGAGGAACTGCTCAGATCAGCCTTCCATCAGCCTAAAATGCCACAGAGCTGCCCATGAAGAAGTGATATAACTAGGCAGTAACAGGTGTAAAAGGACCCATCAAAAACGTGTATGCTTTGATGGAAAAATGTGACTTCATCTTTCAAGAGCATTATCCTCAAAGATTTTTGCCTACCGGCTTGCACGAGGAAAAATGAACCCCTCTAGATTGAAGGTTAAAGATAAGCCTGTATGCCATTTTGTCTAGTCTTCAGTCTCATTTTGAGATCTTTAAACAGTGCAAAACCCATAAGTAACGTCTGATGTCTGATGCCTGTGTGACTTTGACTCATATTAGTGGAACAGCCAGGACTCATTTGGTTGGGTATGTGATTTTGTGGACCTCATAAAGGTAGTACTAGACTTCGGATGTCTGCTTGTAACAAGAGCATTTCCAGATCCACCACTCAAGCAATTTCCAAATGAAGTCTGTAAATGAAACATCCATTTGGCAGCCCTCTCCCATAAGCAGCTCCATTCTTTGCCGGGAAGTGCTGTCACTTGTTTGGGTCTGCACAAAAGCCCAAAGCAGAAGCTTATGAATCATTTTTTCTATTGTGCCACCGAAAATCCTGTACCTCCATGTATTGACAGCTCCATCCCATAAGCAGTGGTCATACACCTATGACAAAAAACACTTTCTGGGGAGAAAAGAGCCATTGTGTGAAGCAGGGGTAAGAACTGTGCTTGTGCAGGAAAGCCCAGCTTCTGGTGAATAAGCCATGAGGTGGAAAAAAGAGATGCATTTCATGAGGGTTTACTAGTCCCCACAGCCCAGTGAAGCTGCACACCTTGTTGGGGGGACAGGCCTGGGTGATCATGCAATAGTTCCAAATGTTTCCAGGAACGTATGGCAAGAAGCACTAGAGCCCTCTCCACATCTTTCAGCAGGACTGATGCAAGAAAGGGCTTTTCTGTTTGTTCTAGCTGTGTCTACTAATATTTTTAAGACAGATAATTACTGGTAGATACAACTGGGAACTGTCTACTTATCCTAGAAAAACATCGCTGTTACAGGAATACGCTCAGTGCTTCCAGACACAGGGGCACGGGGTGAGATTCATTATGCCAGCTTTGTGTCTGCTAAGAGCCTTCTCATTCCAGTTGTTCTGTACTTCTGAAATGAAACGAGTGTAATGTTTTGCTGGAACAACAGAAAATGCGGGTGGGGATGAATGTCACATCCCCAAGTCGTGCAGATGCTAAAGCTTTTTAGTGTAAATTCTGCCCCTCCTGATGGGGACAGGATTTGACACCTTGCCCTCAAGTTGTCCTTCTACAAAGACTAAGATGGAAACAGAAAAGAAGTGGCTTGTTACTTCCTCTCAGTGTCTGTGGAACTGTGGTGCCAACAAGCCTGATGCAAAAGGAAACCATTTTCATTAGTTGTTAAAACAGCAGAAGCTTGTTTTACTTTGGCTGCAACCTCCTCCTGACTCCCACGCAGGAAGTATTCGTGCAATATTCCACATAGGCAGAATATGTCCAATTCCTAGAAGTCCAAATACAAGAAACTGTAGCCCATTTTAGAAACTATGCTGAACTTGGATTATAAAAGTGAGAGGTACTTTGCTTTTATGTGTAACCCCAGGCTACAATTCCTGAGTTTTTTCTTGTCTTTGTCCCTAGGCTTTCGACAGTCTTTGGCAAAATGCATCCTTCCAGTGTGTTCCTCACCTATAAAACAGGGCTAATGACCACCGGGTGTAAGACGAGGCGTTATTGTTATTTCCTGGACAACCTCCTATGCATAATAAAGGTACTTCTGAAGAGGGAAATTTGTTATTGCTGGTTTCTAAGTATGCCTAGGTAAATTATACTATGAGAAAAATAGCCACTATTCCACTATTTCTGTGCTTTTGCACCAAAGCAAATGAGTCAAGTGGCTTCTGAAACTGGCCACATCACTGAGACAGAGAGGGCATATTGCATATTCACAAGAGCTAAAGATTGTTTTATTTACACTTTCATTGCTAGGGGCTGTGAAATGGAACAGAATTCTATTTACCAAATACTCTTCCTGGTGCAATAAGTTAGACGATTTCTCAATTAACACATGGAGCTTATGTATAAAAGAGAAGAGGTTAAGCAACACTGCAGTGCCCAACGGACCATCTGGTGAACATTAGGATTGTCAATAAATCACGAAAGCACCAGTTCATCAAGAAAATTCCATTTCAAACCACTGACAGAAAAAAAAAAACGATGGGAAAAATCTCACAAAATTGGTATTTTCATCTTTTATAAAAACAGGAGCATTAAATAACTTTAATCTAATTTCAATTGTTTTATTGATTCTTTTCTGATGACCACATGGCTTCACATACTGAATGTTTAGCCCTTTGTCTTGCACAGAAAACTGTTATGAAATAACTTGGTGCCTTATGACAGGAGAAGCTCATCTCTTTCTTCTTAGTCTTTCTCCTCACCATGGGTGATAACGTAACAGAGGTTCTTATAGTCAAGATTACCAGAGACATCTGGAGGGAAAGCAGCAAACATCTGGTTGATCTGCCAAGCAAAGGGGAGATAAGTGTTACAAACGCAGGACTGTGGGACAGCAACATGTAGTGCTTTTCATTTTCAACCCAGCTCAGCTCCCTTCTGCCTTGATCCATTAACCACTATGGAAAATATTGCCTTAGCTTCAGTAAAATAGAAATAGGACACAAGTAGTTAATACGGTCCTGCTGGAATCCCAACAAGGTCCCTACCAAAGAGAGCTCTCTCCGAGATCCAGGTAAGCCCTGGCCAAATGACGTACTACAGTCTGCACTCCATTCTGTTCTTGCCATGAACCAATTCCACTCAATCTCCTCTTCTGAAAATAAAGTCCCTCTAAATTCCTCCCAGCCAGCAGAATCCATGTTCAGTCTCACACAAACCACAAAGTCAGTACCTCATTTCAGAACTCATTTCAGATTTCAAACAAAATAACTCCCACAGAAATGGAAACCAGATCACAGTCCCCACCCAAAGCCACTTGAACTCTAGTAAATTCATTGCCCAGCTCTCCATAGGAAAGAACAGCAAGAGATAGGCCATGCTTACACTTGGATGGGAGTCCAAAGAATCTCTTTGACTTTGATTTAGCCATGGAGCTATTCAGAAGAGATGCTTTGAATTGTTCCTAATTGCTAGAGCTGGCATCAGCCTTCTCTCAGTCTGGATTTCAGCTGAATTCATGCATTTAAAGAGTGGCAAATACTTATTGCTGAATAGTAGCTGGAGATAGATCCCTATTTTGAGTAAAGGAGAAGGTCCTTACCTCTTCTTGACTGAACCGGTCTGCCTGTGTCATAAGCATTTCTTTGATGCTGTTCAAATAAAACGAAATAACCTGATTAGAGGGTGATAATGGCACATGACAATTCAGATGGCAAGATCCCTCCTGAAGATGCATGAAAGAAAATCTGTGTGACCGCATAAATTAGAGCTGTTAATCCTTACACGATACTGTAAGAGATTTTCTGTGGGCACCCATCACTGTCGATGCCTCGCTCTGCCAACTTATTTTGCCTTTGTGACATTTTATAGAGGTTTAAAATTGCTTAAGGTTATTACTCTAATTGAAATACAGCAATTTTGTATGCTCATCTTAACCTAAAATGGGAGGTTTTCTCACTTGCTGTTTAAAGTTTGGATCACTTAACAAAACCAAAAGAGAGAATATTTTCTGTAAAATCTGAGGATGAAAGGAACAGAGCATGAAATGAGAGAGAGGACTTGAAAGAGAACTCCAACAGCTACCCCGAATCATCATCTGAGAATCCCTTTATTTGCATGCAGTCATTCCCAGAGGAGACTGTGAAACTGCATGAGACCTGTTGTGTTTCACGGTACAATGTCTTGATCTGGAGTTACAGCACTGTAACAAGGAGCTTATCCCACACACAATCTGCATCCTCTGCAATTACATCAAAGAGAATATTTTGGGGACAGACTCTCAGCTGATTTACCCTCTGTTTTCCAACCCATTGTGGGAAATCAGTCAAGCATGTAATTTTTTTACCTAAGTTTCTAGGTGAATAGAAGTGCCAGGAAGAATGATTACTGCTTCTAGTCTAACCCCTTTTGATAAAACGTCTTTATGTTTCACCCAGTTACTCATATGCTGGGGGCAGTACATGCACAATGTGCTAGAATGTCCACCAGTATGAACTCGTTATATCACATAAAGCTCCCTTTCACTTGCACTAATAAAGTCCCCTTCCTGTAGGAGAATTCCTATATTAATCTCAAAGAGTTTGCATTCACACTGAAGAGGCAGCGTTGTCTCCTTTTGTTACTACCAAAGGTATTTATACTTTAGTAGGATTTTTTCTAAATCAGTAGAACAGACTATGAACCTGTGACAACAGCTGTTGCACAAAACCATAAGCTGAAACAAGTATAGAAACCTGGTTTCGTTGGTAGATTTTTAAAAAAAGGCTGATTTTTTGAAGATTTTGTTGTGGGGAGCGCAATGGCTATTCTGGAAACAGCCCTTTCTCCTTTTAAAGTGAATATTTCTCCTTTTTAAAGTGAATATTTAAAACTAACTATTTATAATAGCAATTGTGCCTGCACAGGAACACTCTGTATGAGCAAAATTCACCTACTGGGGGTGCAGATATTCAGGCAAAATAGTGAAGCTTCCCTTTCTGCTCCCACAGACCACGCATCCCGAGTGAAAACAGTGACACAGATAAAAATGTAGTTTTGATGGCAAAGCTACAACTGTACTTTCTCATATCTCTGACATATTTTTTTTCCAGTAAAAGGCTACAACACAGACATATCCCAGTTTGCATAAGAGGCATATATACTTCTGAATCTCTTTCTTGTTGATGTGAAGTGCTCATTTGGAAAGACAGAAAGGGAAATTTGAAATAAGAAGCTTCTGGGTAATGAATAAGGATCTTGCCCACAAGGACAAGAGTGAAAATACCCATGCAGGTTTTGGGAAATACTCTGAAGTCACAGACAGATCTTAAGCTGTTGTGTATATTTACTTTACCATTCTCTTTACTAAGCAAAGTCTTTCTTAATCTTTTTCTCTCATATTGCTGTTTCTGTTTCCTTATCCTGGCCGTTTGTTACGTGACTGCATTTTTTGAAGCGGAATTCTCAAATGACCAGTGGGTGCAAGAGCAGAGAGATCATTCTCATCAGCACAAATTGATTATTGGATATGTGTGCACTGGGGCAAACGGCATTTGCAAACGCAAATAGGAAGTGTGATCCAGGAAGGAGTCAGTGAATAGAAGGAAGCCATTTTGTCAGATGTCACAAATAAACTCACAAACAGGTCTGAATTAAAAAGAGATCTGGGCACTACGTGTCTTCTATTCACATGCTTAAAGTATTGAGGGGAAAAAAAAAAGATCAAATATCTAATTATAATCTTGTGATGCACAGCCCAGTAGGCTCTGGCACACTCATAAGGAAGAAGGAACTGAGTTAAGGATTTATGCACATTTTCCATTATTTATTTTATAGGGTAACAAACACTCACAATTTCCAGAGCTAGAGATTATGCACTTTTTTTCTTTGTGTATCTTGTTTTCTTTTTTAAAGACTACTTGCTTCTCAAAAAAGAAAGTAAAAAAAAAAAAATCAAAGTCTTCTGGGCAGAGAAGAATATCTATTTGCCTTGACGTAGGAGTCTAAATGTTATCTCTTGCCCTGGCTGACATCAGTTCCTTCTACAGTTACAAATACTTTGTTGCATTCTTATATTTTCAAAACATTTTTTAAAATTATCTGTGAAATCTCTGGGGCATTTTCATTTTCCCCTGGGTTTGCCCTTTCTACAGTGGAGAAAACCAGGTGAGTTGAAATGAGCAGCACTCTACAACTATGCTGAGAAACATCCCCAGCTCAGCCAAACTGATCTCCAAAGGCCCAGAACGCATCTCAGCTCCCTGGGTCCATTTTCATCTGGTACAAATCTGCAAAGTTTTGTTGGCATAGGTCAGAGTTAGACACAGTTGATGTTGGCCTGACTCACTTTGTCCAAAGAATGGCATTTAGGGCTGAATCATGTAACCTTTCCAAAAGCAACACCAGTTTACACCAGCTGAGAATCTGACCTAAAGCGTTTTCCCTTTTTGACATCAGGCTATAGGAAGGATTTTATGTCTGGTGTAATGATGCAGACAAACAAAGTCTGTCATTGAATTTGGAAGTAAGTTATAAACTCCTGGAGCTTCTGGAAAGGTTAGAAGGCTCCATCCCAGCTACCATCAGATGGACTAAGTGAGTCATTTCCAGACTAGAGGTGAAAACACACAGAGGGAAGAAACATAAAAATCCCCAGAAGGATGTTAACTCCATGAACATAAAAAGAAGTTCTGATTAAAAGGTCAACGTGGCTGGTTTGGGAGAGAAACATTCCAGGATTTTTTAATATGGAGAAATATTATTTATTAACATTAACTGTCATATTGAAATGGCTGTATGAGCCAACATAAAAATTATTTCAAAACCTTCAAATGTCTAAATTTTGGAAGCATATGAATAGAAGTTAAACCTCAAAGACATTCAGGGAATTGATTTAATGGTTTGTTCTGTAATGATCAACATTACCCTCGGGTCTAATAAGTAAACATTATGCTCTGTTGTGGTGATGAACTAAAACAATTGTCTAATGTTAGCAGTGCAGTGGGGGTGGGGACAAGGTTGACCTTTTCCATCAAGGAAAAATAAAAGTATTTCTCTCTCATCTTAATTTTGGAGTGTGATACTGCATTCCTAATTTACCCCAAACTCCAACTGGCTTCCAGCATCCGAGGAATGTAGAACTGGACACAGGGTGGCAAACTGCAGATTTTGTATGCAGTATATTGTTACAGATAGTGGTGGGAAATATAACATTTCATGGCTTTTGTATTATCAGAAGGTTGTATTTCATGGTTGTGATTTCACTACCGTGTGATCTGGCCTATTTGGCAACAGGCTACATTTTATTCTGATTGTTTGAATCTCCTCTGATGTATTTCTCTGACTGTTCTTCCCAAGCTGTTTGAATAATGTTAACTCCAGAACAATCGGGATGACTGCTAACCCTCTGTTCCTTCTGGTTGTTTGCTACATCCACTTGTGGTTTAATTAATTTAGATGTTCTTTAGTGAAAAGACTCTTTGCTTTTATTTTGCTTATCGCTTACCATAATGGGACTCTCATACCCACTGGGAATTAAGTGCCACTGTCACAGAAAAGCGTATTGGTAACAGAAGGAAATATTTATATTTTCAACTAACTTTCAACAATATTTGTATTTTCAACATCAATAATTGCAGATAATGTCATAGAAAACTTCACCTCAGAGGTTCTGGTAACAGGTTTAGTTTTCATTTACCATATCACAACATTTGCAGAATTCCTTCATGCAAATACAATTTCGTAACTCATGGTTCCCTAATAAACTTCCTATACATACTATGCTTTATAAAATCTACCTGAAATGGCTGCTGCAGTAAAAGTATAGACCGCAAATTCACCAAGGAATTTAAGCATATGCATAAATCTAGGCACATAAAGCTGGAGCCATAGGTCAGACCTCCTCATCTACTGCCCTGATTTGATATCATTTATCTTATTTACCTGAAGGCCTGCTTACACCCTTCTGGCAGTGCAATGAAGATTTACATTTGTGCAATTAGCACTTAAAATCCTTTTACCCTGCTTTGTTGGTGTAACAGGTTATGAATACAAATTAGGTCCTTCTTCCTTATTTAAAAAATAGCCATATTGACAATAATTGCCATATTATTAATAGTATTATTTGGCCCCCACCATATCTAGTGGAAATTTATAGTAAATTATTGTCTAGAAGCAGAAGGCTCAAACAGTAAACACATAACAAGGAAAATGTCCTCACTAAAAACATATCCCAGAGCTAATTAAATCGATCACTTTTTTAAAAAGGGGACTAGGTTTCCCATTTTAGTCAAGCACTCTGAGAGTTAGGCACCAGACATTCATTTTAATTTTACATATGGAGTTAATTTACAAAGAGTCATGTGTTGATTTATATCCAGACCTTCAAAAAAGGCTATCTAATGGCCTACATGTGATTATATTTCCATTGCCTCTTGCAATGTCTGAAGACAATAACATCTCTTTTTTGGTATACAAACACATTCATACAATAGTCCAGACTTTTAACTCTGGCTTACAAAGCTAAATGTTTCTCTGCATGACAGTTCCTCTGTCTCTTAAAATACTGTGAAAAATACAGCTTTTAAGCAGTTCTTTAAACCAGTGCAATTATTATTATTATTGTTATTATTATTATTATTCTTTTAAAAGGATTGGAAATAAACTTACTAGTCTGCCTTTATGTGGCCTTTTCCTTCTGGGTCGAAAATCTTAAAAGCATTCAAAATGGTTTCTTCTGGGTCCGTGCCTAAAATTAATGAAATATAATTTAGAAGTCTGGATGTATTTCTACAGCTGCCGAATACTTGCTCAGTAATTGCATTCACTTGAAAACAGTGCAAAATGGAGAATTCTGCAGTCGTAGGTTTGAAGACAAAGGTTCCTTAAGTCGGCAGCATTTGTCATGTCAGATAAACAATAGAGGTGAATAGTTCAATGCTCAGAAGCTTAAAAATAATAACTCATATCTATTCTATGTCTGCAGGAGAGAAAACTTCCAGGAACTGGTCTCCAATATCAGTACCCAGAGGATTAGTGGCTTTCAGAAATGAAAATATAACAAACTGTTTCCATCACTGGCTTCCTTTAATCTTGTACTGTACGTTCCTTGTAAAAACATTTTTTGATGTTACTTGTTCTTCACTATATAGAGAAGAGGTTATTTCCCTCACTAAAGGAAATGGAGCTCATCATAAAATCAGAATGTCAGTGCAACGCAATGGAAACAGGATGATCAATGTAAAAGGGTGATTTGCACGTAGGTCCTGTAGTGCACTTCCACTTAACTATCTCTTCATTAAGTGTTACTTATAGGAACAGGATGGTTTAAAGCTCTGGACCATGGCCCTGAGATTCTGCCTCTGCTCTTAGCTGGGCCACAGACTTTTGGTATGACTTTAATTTCCTTGCTCCTCTGTTCCCAGCAGTAAAATGATAGTAATAATCTTCCATTTCTTCCATCCTTTATCTGTCCCATCTATTTACGTTGGAAAAAATTTGGGTCAGGGACCAGCTTTCACAGTGCCTTAATCTTGGCTGGAGTTTCTGGCTATTCTCTAATACCACAGATTCTGAGTATACTCACTCACAGTCACTTTCAGCCCACACCAAAGGATACTGGTGTGGTAGGATACTATATGTACATATATACTCTGTTTCTGACTATTCCCCAGTATCTCAAAATATTATGGTAGTCTGTATAATACAAATCCTTATTTATAACTGTTGAAACCAAATTTGCAAGCAGACAGACTGACCCACAGACAAATGAAGCTACTTGGGATGCTGAAATGTTGAAAATGTCATTAAAAAAAAAAAAAGTAATAACAAAGATTTGCAGTTTCAGAGTTGGTTCAAAGTCTGGCAGAGATAGAAGCAGAACAGAACCCAGTCAAGGTTCCCTGCTCTAATGACTACACATGCTCCTGATGCCTTCTTAGTTTTCTTTGTTTTAAAGGTTTCACAATTAGTAATAGTATCTTAGTGGATATAATAGTGAATAAATCTAAGGCTACATGTTCTCCTTCCTGTCACACACTGGCAGTGTGTATTTTCTTGCCAAGCTGAAGGCAATGTATTCAAAGTACAATTAATATATGATCAATACAGAGAGCATTGGTATTTAATGAGTGTTCTGATTGTCCCATGAAGAGAAACATCTTCCAGCTCCGAGGAAAGGTCTGCATTTTAAGTAGTCACCACTGTGTGGGGGATTTTTTTTTCCTTACTGTGTTTTACATTTTCTACTCTGTCATATCCTTGGACTTTGGCTTTGAAGAGAAGCAATGCAGCAGGCATTCTTTATTGATTAGCTGGTAAATAAAGTGGTTTCTTTGATGTGCGGCATCTCTGTTTTCTGTACAAATTGTATTATTCTGACTCCCTGTAGAAACAGCTCCATGTGGTTGGCATTAACATAAACCGAGTTTTGTTAGCTGTTCATCTGGCATCATAATCTCAATATACAAAGCTAAAGCTCGTCCCGAAAATCCCAGCTTCCCTTTTATGACAGAAATCAATTATAGCACAACAAATTTTACTTAGAAAGCACCTTTCACCAAATTCTCTGAGTGGTACTTAGCTAATAAAGAGTGTTGCAAAATTGCCATATCCACTTCCTCTAGCCCTTTCTCCCTTTCTAATTGCACTACAAAGGCTCTTCATCCCAATTAGTTTTGATTGGGAATGTGCAGTCTTTTGGCTCTGCTTCCTTTGCATGACAAACCCAACCAGAAGGGCATGACAAGCACAGCTGTGATTTTCCCTTCACCAAATGGAAATTAAAAAAAACCTCCTCCTCTGTTAGTAGCCAAGAGGAAACCTGCAGACAAGAGGGGTTCGCTCCACCATTCACCTTCCTGTGCTGGCTCTGTTTTCAGGCCACACAATTGGCAGGGCCAGACTCTCTGCCAGCTTCAGCAATCGTAAGGGACAGGAGGGGAAAGGAAGAAGAGATTATTTCCATGCTCTGTGTGATCAGAAGCATCACAAATAGACAGGAACGGGTAGCAGGGCACCCCACAAGAAATAGTCACGTATCCCAGAAGGAAGATTATGGAGAAAGGCACTACCTTCTCTGCAAGATGACATCTGGAATGGAAAAGTGGAAGCACCACTGCGATCAAGAGAGATCGATGTCTGGGTAATAAAATCCTCTCCTCAGTGTCAGCCTACAGCCCTCTCCATCCGCTCCTACGCCTCCCAGACCTGCCGTGCTCCTTAGCAATACTGTATTTGTTTGAGGACCAGCTACATTAATTCTTTCTTTCAGACCTCTCTACTTTCTATTCCAACCCCTTCACTGCAATTGTGCTCAGCAATATAAAGCCAATATAAGGTCCAGCAGCAATGCAATAAATGTTTTTAAGAAGATGGGATCAGATTATTTCCATTTTTCTGTGCATTAGTTATTACAAGAAACTTCTGGAATGTGCTTGGTTAAGACCAACCTTGCTTTGAAGGTCAAGGCTTTCACCTGTCTCTAATGCATAAAGGAAAATGACTAGATGTTCCTCTTGACTTCACACTCCCTCTCTTGCAGTTTCTGGACATTAACAGTGTAGGAGACACGACTAAATTATTGGCGCCCACAACAAACTTAGTACCTACACTTTCTGAACTCCCTACAGTGATCCCTATATATTCTGTGGCAATGGGCAAGATCCCTCTCCCTTATCATGGTACCCACACTGAGATTAAATTATTTCAATTTATCCACTCCATTAAGAGTTATTCAGCAAAATCTTCATCCAATGGCAAAATCGCTATTGACCTCAAGTGCAGCCAAGGCTGGGCCACTGGGCTACAACTAACCCAGAAAATGAGGGAAGGCCACGTTGCTTCTTCTTGCCCTGTAACCGCAAGGATGATGCAGAGGTCGTGTTTGCGTAATGAGCCAAAGAAGTGCAGAAAGTTTTTTGTAGAAATACTGAAAATACTTTAAAACCACCTAATATGAGCAACAAACTTCAGCCGAGGAACCTACTGATGGTGAGTAACTCGTCTGCGCTGTGCTCCGGGCTGCTGTGATCTCATTACTTTCTGGACCTCAACTTACCACTTTCATGTTAGCTTATGTAAGCTGAAATCACCCCTTTGAATTGTCCTCTGGACCGTCCCTTAGCCTTTTCATACTTCAGCTCTGTCTGCAAAAACGGAGATCACTCCTTGCCTTTAAGCATTGTTCTGTGGATACATTATTATAATTTGCAAGGTGCTGAGATATTTCAGTGCTGAGGATCTTTGACAGATACCTCTCCAACCCCCCAAAGGTACTTACCTTTCAGCTTTTCCCCAAACATAGTAAGGAAGACAGTGAAGTTAATAGGACCTGGCGCCTCCTTCACCATGTCTTCAAGCTCTTCATTCTTGACATTCAAACGACCTGCAGCAGAGATCATTTTTCATAATAAATCACAAATTGTGTTTCAAAAAACGATTCCCATTCATCTCCTCCCACTGGGGAGCTCAGGGCTCTGTGCAACTTTGCTAATAACATGGTAGAACACAACTCCAGAATACCCCAGTGTAAAACAAATTGGCAGAGCTGGCTCTAAGATCAAAGGGTGACTGAAGGAGTAAGAAGGATAAATAATACGGACGTGGCCAGCAGTGGACAAAAGAAGGGGCACTTCCAAATAAACTGTTTTTCTTTCTTGTTTTTTGTTTTTACCTCAGGTGAAATACAGGCCCCACTGATATTAATATAGCACAGTTCAAAGTGACTGAAGTGAATCCAAGGTCTCAGTCTTTGTCCTCCTCTATATTGAGATGCCTTTCTGAGTAGAGAGCAGATGGATGAGGTGAGTAGTCATATCCCTTCCCCATCCTTGTGCAGTCCTATTGATGAGAATTTAGACCCTGGCAACCCTACTCAAATGGAGTAGTAATTTGCTGTGACTGTACTTTATGGGCGCTGAAGGGCTTCACTGAACTGGAAAGATACCAGAACTTGGCCTTAAGAAATAAATATTTCAGGGTAACAGTAGCTACAGGCCAAAGTTTGCAAACCTCATTGTCACAATAAAGAGTTCAGGAGCTTCTGCTCTTTGCACTGACTCCGCTGGCGTCTGATTCTACCCCAGGGAGCACTAAAGATTCTTATCAAACTCTTTTTAATAAGATCCAGATGGCAAAATCCCAAATGCCTACATCACTGTTCAAGCCTCAAATGTTGCAACAAGGATACAACTCCAGGTTTGGGATCATGAGCATTATGATTTTTCCTTTCCTTAGGAAGATTTGCTTTAATCTGCTTGATATTATCAGGATTGTGATGTGCATGGAATGGACAGTACCTCATCTCACGACACGTACATTCCACCCCACACAAATGCCCAACAGCACAGAACCTCACATGAAGTCCTCCTGCTTTTGTGTGGGCAGAGGGGCAGCCAGTCCATGACAACAACATTAATTGGTAGATCTTGCATGGCTCCTAGATGAAAAAGGTGCAGCCTGTGAAGCCTGGATTCACAGGCAAATCAGAAATGCCTGGCATGGACCCCTGCTTGGGTGGGCTTTTTACAGAACAGTTGCAGGGGAGGGATCAGTGCCTCTGGAGAGCTGCCAGCCCCACAGCTCTGCTGCACCCGCCAGCGAGTCCCAGAGAGACCTTCATTTCGCTGCTGAAAGAGGCTGCTCAGGAGACTTCCCAGCTGGAGCTATGCAGAGAGACAGCAACTACCATAAAGGAGGAAGATCAAACTGAACAGGCTTCCTTTTGCCCCCTGTGTATCGCGTTACTTCTCCCACTGCAATTCTAATACGAACATTTCTTATGTGCTTGAAATTTAAACTGCGTTTCTTTTAAGTATTTAGTAATTACCACCAGTTTACCTAGTGCAGCAAATGTGTCTCTCAAGTCTGCTTTGTCAATAAAGCCATCCCTGTTCTGATCCATGATGGTAAAAGCCTAGTTGGAAGAAAAAAAAGACAATTTATTTCCATTGCCATGTCGCACTGGACAGTGCTACCATCACACGTACCAGTCCAGGGGGCCATTACAGTCACGCTGTAAAGGAGAATATTGAACTTCTTTTGATTCATCCACATCATTGCACTTCCCTCACTTTCAACACGTTGCTGTATCTTGGCAAGGGACTTAATTAAACCCACCCAAACTTCTTCTTACTAAATTAATGCTCAGTGCAGCGTGCAGCTGGGCTGAAGCCAACGCTGGCAGCTCCAGCCATTCAGGCCTTAACCCATAAAAGTTTGAATTAGGGAGGCTTTAGTTAGGGGGGATTTAGTCAGCGGTTACTCTGTGTGTTTTGTACCTTTCCCATACCTCACTCCCTTGTGCATCTAGTGCATTCTGTAAGACATTTAAATACTATAGATCCAGCTCAAGTCACTTTCTTCTGGGCCTCGAAATGATCCTTCACGCAGAGACAGCTAAATTTTCAAAAGTACAGTGAAATGTAGGCTTATTTATTCAAAGTTTCTTTCCCTTTCCAATAAACCGTATCCTTCAGACTGTACTCTGTGCTCTGACTGACCTGGATGTGTAGACCTTAAATACTTGGCAGGCAAAATTTAACTTTTGATAGAAAAAAACCAGTTATTTTTCTATTTTCAGCCAATATGGAATTTATGTACTCTACCCATTATTCACCAAGACAGCTAACTGCCTATTTATTTACCTGTTTACATGTCTGTCTATTTGCTGTCATCCCACTTTTAATGTTTTATTGATTTTGAAAGATTTTAATGACCTGAAATTCCCCTGGTCATACTATGAGGAATATTAGTAGAACCAGGCATGTCTCTGAAGCTGGTTATCTGTCTGACATGCCCATCAATATGAGAGTGTATCTTTTCAATGACCAGGAATTATCCTTACTCCAGTATTATTATGAAAGACAGCATTCTCTCAAGAATACAGCCAGTCCATTGCAGCTGCAGGAACTTGCAGAGTTTTAGAGTCTACTGCTCTGCAGGGTGCACTTCTTTCCATGATAGTATTATACCAACATATCTTCATGTAGTTTTACCTTCCGTTTCTTACAAAGCCACACTGCTCACATTCCAGTTTGCCCATGTGATTACTTGGAGCGTGCATGTTCATAACCCTTCATTTACCTGTCAGACCATCACCTAATAAAAAATTACGCCCAACTCTTTAGAGTTGAAAATGAACTTGTAGCTATTTATCACATTTGAAATTGCTTTGGAGATTTGAGTTACCAAAAAAAGGGGAAAACATGAATAATTTAAAACAATAAACCAGTGCAAAATGTGATGGCCTCACAGACATTCTAGAATGTCCACTCAGAAAAAAAGCATAAACCCATTGAACAAATTATCTGTCTTTAATATGCTTCAGCTTTTATGGAGCCAATTAGATTTGCCTCCTCACAAGTAACTGGTCAAAGAATCTACAATGCATGATAATACCAAATTATTTGGGAGCTAAAAGATGCTTACTTAGTTAATCTCAACATGTTGTTTTGGTTTATTGGCATTTATGGAGAAAGTCAGCTGAGAACTTCTTGGTATTTTTGTTTCTAGTTTGTGGGTAGTATTAGAAGGGCACAGAAGAATATTTTCTATTGCTGTTGTGGAACAGTCCACTAATTAAAGCCCTGGTTCAATAAGGCATCTTTATTCAGGACGATACTTGAGCACATAAGACTATTCTTATTTAAAATACCACTTAACTTTAAACATGTGCTCAAGTGTTTTCCTGAATCAGGGCTAAAGTGGATGAGATGATAATCTTCCTTTATTTTGGGGCAGGGGCTTTTCAAGTAAGTCTTGAGCTTGAAACAGGAGAGGGAGGGAGGGACAGAACGAAGAAAAGAAAGAATGAAAGAAAGAATGAAAGAAAGAATGAAGGAAAGAACAAACAAACACACAAGGAAAATGATATACCAGCCAAAACCACAGAGATGATTCAGAAAACAACTGTGTGTTCTATTAAAGCAGATGGAGAATTGAATAAGGATTACAAACAAAACCTATGTTATTCATTAGCAATGACAGGAGACTATAGAAAACAGCAGAATAGTGACCAACCTCTTTGAACTCCTGGATCTGGGTTTGTTCAAACATAGAGAATACATTGGAACCACCTTCTATCTTCTTCTTTGCCTTTTTTGGAGCCTGTAATACAAATAAGATCAAATATATATTACTTCGTCTGTTAAGCACCCATGAAAACAAATTCCATCTTTAACAGAAGGTAAAATATATACAGTCAAGTAATACAAGAGGATTGTGTTTTGTTATGACAACGTTTTTAATTCAATCATATATATATATGTATATAAACGGGATAAAAAATGTTGCTTTAGTCACAGATTAATCTCTCACTGAGGCTTTTTGCCATTCCCTTGCTCCGGCCTGGAACCTGACAGCTCAGATAAACAAGGACAGCTTGTCACTGTGCTGCTTTAGAAAGGGTGAGGGGCCCAAAGTGTGACTCCGAATCTCACAGCTGGTCCACTGCTTGTTTCCCCAAGGAATTGCCTGATACTTGGGTAGAGTCACCTACACCAGAGCACTTGGCGCAGGAGAACAGTCCCCCCTCTGCATTGGCTCTTCAGAGCTTTGTGTTACAGGAGGAGTGATGCCAGGTTATACTCTCGCTCAGAGATGTAAGCTAGAATTCCCAACCTGCTGTTCTCAAGAAATAGAAGGAATTCAGGTGAGTGGCTACAAGTACCCCTTCTTCCCAGCTCCCACACAGGGACAGGAAGCCAAACTCAAAATGAGAGCCCTCGTGAGGACTCTGCTCAGGAACTATGGAGGGTAATTATATCATTTCCTACTCACGCAGAAACGTTTAGAAGCCTGCTCTGTCTGGGCCAACACTGACTGAACAGATTCTTCCTATGTAGGAAGGACAATCTATATTCTTGCACCAACTTATGACACTACACTACATTGCCTAACTTGCCATATAATTTTAATATTCAAGATAGTAATCTTAAATAAAAGGGTGGGCCCGCTTTTATCACTATTCTGTAGTCTGAAGACTGAGACAGAGAAAGACTGGGGAAAGAACTACAATGATATCTAAGAAAGAAATCAGACTAAGACTAAAAATCAGTCAGAACTAGACTTCATTATCTATCTTTGAATAAGGGCCCAACCAGCTTGTCTAAGACAATGTAGTTCTTGTTCAGCAGCAAAGAATAAAATCTGTGATTCCTAAGGATTACAGAAATGTTTTAACCACAGCATTATCCTTTCTTGGGTCAGGATAATGAGCTACATCTCCTTCTGAGTTCCCTTCCAGACAGATTATTTTTTTTCTTTATCATTTTTACTTTTAAACTTCATCATCATATTCCCACCTGGTTCTCATGTCATGGAAAATTAGTCTGACTTAGTTTGGGCTATTCTGCATGAAACAGAAGGCAACTTCTACTGTCTCCTTTCATCAAACTAAAAAAAGCCTGCAAAAGTTCAAATTCAATACTGATTTCAAATATCCTGAGGAGCAGAGCAGCTCAAGGAAATATTCCCACTTGACTCTGTTTGAAGTACACGTTGTCTGATCAATTTAATTTGCCAGGCAGATTTCTGCGCTCAGCCACCCTGGTTTAGATCCCAGGTTGAAAATTAAGGCTTTGGTAGACACTCATCCTCATACCCACACTCCAGACCTGTCAAGCTCCAATCAGCTAATGCAAAGCACTAAAATCTGGAAATAGGAATGGAAATTAGAAGAAAAATGTATTTGTAGTGAGGATAAAAATAAGGATAGAATGCCACCACAGGCATGGAAAAAAAAAAAAGTGAATAAGTGGAATGTTTAATGAATGTAGAAATATTGATTTTGGAATAAACAGATTCCCTCCTCCTCCTACACATGAAATAAGTGTTATTTTGAGCAGTAATGGGCAATCTTCCATATATCGTGAGGTGTCTGGTGGAGGTTTTCAACAATTCCAGATCGAATGGAAATATTAGGAACAATCCTATGTATTTACATGTATTTGTTCCCCGAGGTAAAGGGAAAGCAGATGTTACCCAGCAGAACGTATTAGAAGCTGTCTGGGGGAACTGACCACAGGGCACAAGGCTCAGCATTTTGGATGGGTTGGCAGAACTGGTTCTCCTGTGCTCGTGCAGCTGGTCTTCATGAAGACAAAACATGCTTTACCATTCTCATGCTCTGCTGTGACCAAACACAGCATCCATACCCCACATGATAAATATTCTCCATACTAGCAAACAACCTACATCCTCTTAAGCTAGCACCGCAACGATGGGCAGTGGGCTCCAGCTCCAGGTTTTATTAACCTTAAATGCCAAACACTGGCAATACCTCTATTATTCCTCAGTTTAATGGGTTCTCTGTGCTGTAAGGCTTTAAGCAAGGATTGTAGCTATAAGAAAGGATCAGATATACCCAAAAGCTGTGGCTCAGTATCTACTAGAAACAGACTGGCAACACAAGAAACACCCAAAAGTTTCTTTACATTAATGAACTCCTATTCGAGGCAGAAATGACTGAAGACTAGTTCTCCAGAGAACAATCACTGTACCAGGAGAAACTCATCCTAGCAGTGTTACTCTCTGGTTAGTCATCTCCAGGGATGATAAAGGAGATCAGTGCCCGTGTCGCTCAATCTATCTTTAGTTTTTCGGCTGAAGCTCTGGGTGTGGATCCTATTTATGATCTGCTCACTTGTGGAATGGGGCTGAGACCACCAATGCATTTCACAGGGGCCATGAACAGCTGTTGGATGGGAATGGCTTTCCACCACCAGTTTCAAGCTAAGGCTTTCGACATCAAACAAAAGTACAAAGCATCTTGGATTATCAGTCTCATGTTTTTTCTCTATGCAGTGTTGTGAACATAATTTATCTGCTCTGAAAGTCTGGGAAATTAATAATCACAGAAAGAAACTGCCCCTTGATTTTGCAGGACTGGTGGGTAGACAGGCACTACGGAGAGGAAGGCTGAGAGGTAAGTAGGTGGAACAGGAATATTGTCACTGTCTTTCTGGTGGGTAAGTCAAATGAAAAGGCAGCTCTAGGAGAACAGAAATAGGTCTGTGCTGCTCTCTGACAACTCCAAACGTTCCAGAATTTTTTAATGAATTGAATTAGGATTCTGACTCTGGAGTATCTCTCTGAAAGAGTGGCATAGTAAAAAGAGCAACACAGAACTAAGCAAACATATGGTTTCTACACTGTCAAGGATTTAGCAGGTGACCTACAGAGGAGCAAGCGGGTGAGTGACACATCACTTCTGTCTGCCTTGATTTCCCCATTCGTAAAATGCAGCGTGTGGGGCTGCACTTTGCAGAGATGGCTGCTCTGTCTTTGCAACATGTGCTTTGAGACTGACATACAAAACGTGCCAGATGAGAAACTGAAGAGCTGAGGGTCCCCTGGGCTCGGATTCCGAAGCCTCAATAGCACAGCAGTGGGAAGAATGTTGCAACAACTGAACAAGCCTATTAATATTCCTGCCTGAGTGTATTAATCATCCCATTGTGAAGAAAACAACACTTCACTTTAGAAGAGAAACCACAGGCTTGTCGCATATCACTCATTTGTCTTACTAGTGTTAGCACTCTCTCAATTAGCCTGGGTTTTAAAGGGTCTCTTTTTTTTCGGTTGGGTGTTTTTTTCATTTGGTGTTGGTTTGATTTAGAAGCTTTAAATGAAAAAATGGAGCCATACCAAAATCTGGTCCCAAGAAAATTGAAAACTCTGTTGAACCAGACATTTGCTTTGAGCTGAGTTTCCCTCACTGAGGTTCTTTCCATTTCTCCTCTCTGGCAGCGTCAGGGAGCCAGAGGGAACAAGGACAGTGCAGGGACACAGGCAGAAACAATGAGTGTGTGCTGCCTTTGCCTCTCTGGCTATAACAGGGATTCATTTTTTCTATGTGGCAGAGGGGTTGTATGTTCAAGTGAATCAGAGGGAAGAAATCTCTGATTTCAGCGTGATCTAAAAGAAAAGGGGGCAGGGAATCAGTTTATATTTCTACATGTAAAGGAAGAAGGAGCTGAAAGTATCTGGTTCTTACTTCAGGAGGTGAGGCGTTATTTACCCTGATAAATTCATAAAGGGCTGGTGGGAGAGCAGGTTCGTGACCCAAAGGAAATGGCACTGGATTATTGCAGAACTTATCATCTCGATGAATTTTGCAGACAATCCAGAAAAGTAGGGTAAAACAGACAAGTTGCTGCAAGACAAAGGTACAGCTCTGTACCTGGTGCTGCTCGGCACCGCCTGATCAGGTGCACACTTCTACCCTCTAGCACGTATGAAGTAACCAACCTCTTCTGAGCATTTTCTGCAGAGCAAGAACGTCTCCACAGGCTGTCAGGAAAAACGGGCAGCACTGCCAGAAGCCACATTTTTGATCTGGTTTGGTCAAGTCAGTTCCCTGTTTGGTCCACCATGCCTTACAACACTCGGAAATTACTCAAGTAACTAAAGATGACCTAGTTTGATACTCCTCACAGCCAAAGTTAAAACACAAGCAGAAACGCTTCCCCACTCAGCAACCTACTGTGTCTTCTTTTAATTGTTTTACCAGAGAAGACACCAGTGGGTAAGCAGGTCTCCTGGGAGGGAGTCCTTCAGAGAAAAATAGGGGTATACACTAAAACCAGCCTGTTACCTGTACCCTCATGTGTTCATTCAGCCCAGGGCAAACTAGACATAAGATACTACCAGCTTTATGTTGCACTGTTTCACATTTTATACTTCCTTCCTCTGCAGTGACGTTTGTGACTACAGAAAAGACAGAATCATCCATCATCTCGCTCAGATTCCGTCCCCTACTGTGATCCACGGTACGAAGTTAACTCGGGAGTTACTATTACTTTTTCATCCATCACACTCTCTCCTTGTTTTTTCATCCACTCTGGGATCTCAGTGCTGACATTTCCTGTCTTCGAATTTTTGTTATCATTGAATCCAGCTTCTGAATCAGAAGTTACATCTCAGGTCCATCCAACAGTTTTCTGCAGCACTGGACAGGATTTTTGTTCATTATTGTCTCACAACTTTGCTCTGCTGAGATAATTTACTCTGCATCTGCACCCCAGACCCCAATATGGCCAAGCCACCATTTTTTAGCGTGGTTTAGGTCCTTTTCATGGCAGGTGAGAAGCATAAGGCCAAACCAAGTGCATGCCTTTGAGGGAACAGTCTAGAGGAGCAAGCAACATAAACTGCTCTAAGGGCACAATTTGCATTTCAAACAGGCAACAGCCTCAGATCATTCAAATAAAACCCCACGTTATCAGAACTAAGAAACAGAAGATTTTTTTATTACCTGCTCTTCACTCACAAACAGATCCCTCCCTTCTCATCCTCACTCCGTTTTACATGTGGCCCCAGCCTCCCCCACACCCACACAGACACACACCTTTGATCCCTGCCAGATACAAAAATCTCTTGGACTGCATCCTCCCTGCTTCACACTCCCATACACGAAAGCTTTCTACTTTGCCCCACATAAAATCCCTTCCCAATCACAGTCTCCTTTTTTCTCTTGCACAGATAGAGAGAGAGAATGCATTATCTCCCAAACCTTACCTCAGAACAGCAGATAACCTCTCCAACCACAGACAGCTCAACCTCTATGACCCCAAATTCACTAGCTGCTTTCCCCACCCAACAAATTTTCTTCTCTGGCGTATCCACATCCTCCTCCTTCATGTAAACAGGTGAACAGTCCCTCTCTACGTACAGTTCTCCATGCTCACAGACACACGTGTGTACACACACACACACATGTGCAGAGCCATCCACAGACACTTCAACAGTTAAACCACTGGCCACGTTTTCCACTAGTGAAATCAGCCTTGCTCCATGGAGGTCGGTACTTGTGTCAGTACAGGTGGCACATTCCAGGCAGTTAAGCAGCCTGCAAAACACATTTGATCAGAATGCAATCTATTTTGGGGAACGCAGTTCCCTTTGGCACACAGAATTTGCTACAGGGTGTCACTCGAACTGAACAAACAACAGGAATGTTTTGGGAATGAGAAAAAGGCTTCCCGCTCTTCTTCCCTTCCTTCTCTCCATCAGCACAGAGCGTGCGGGGAGACATCACAGACCCAACTTCACTGAAATTCCCTGGAATTAAGGGAGAGCTGTAGACAGTTCTCAGAACTCCATTCCACAGCACTTGTGTGGTCTGCTCTTGTTAGAAAAATTATCTCCCTGAACCCTGCCTCTCTCGCTCTCATCAGCCCTGGATGTCAGAGCCTAGTAGCACTGCCTGACTTGTAATTATTTTTTACTATGCTGCTTTGTCTGCACTAATCCTTTGAAAGTAGCTTTACTGCACATCTGAAATATTATGATGCTATAAAACCTCTGTAATATTTATAAATCCCTTAAGACATCATAAAGAGAGAAAAAAACCTCCCCACAGAGTTCATCTAGCATAATTACATATACATTTCCCTCTGATTAATAAAAAATGATCACTTCCTTATGTAAAGATATTCTTCAGCTTTCTTTCATTAAGGCTATTTTTTTTCTTTCCATTTTAAATCTGTTTCATGTGTCCCTGTATAGTAAGGTACCTCAGAAGATATTTTCCCAAAACAAAAGGCACAATGAAAAGAACCACCACAGAGAATCGTCAGTTGAACTGGGAGTGAAGAGACAGAATAGTCTCTCCCTAAATTTTCACATCTCCCAACTTAAGCAATTTCACCACAAAATGTCCTGAAATGTCTTCAGCCATCAAGCAGCGTGGCGTGGTGTTGATCTAAATACAAGGGAAGAAAACTGGTAAATAAAATTTTAAAAAAGACGGGAAAAAGAAAACCTAAGATCCAGCACTTGCCCCCCACCCCACAAAAGGGTTGGTTTAGACTTTAGGGAAGCTGATTAAAGGGAAACCTGTAAATCCACAACTGAAGAGGCGTAATCAGCACAAGGCACTGCTCAGTTGTAAAACAGTGGTGAAGAGCGTGATTAGTGGCTTGTGTGCTCAGTGTGAAACCACTGACACTGGGCTTGCACTGACTGAAACTGGAACCTAGTTTTGTGCATGGATTTTAGAAATTACATTGAATGTAGCTTTATCCTGCTCAGAACAGCACTTGGAGCACATTCATCACTTGCTTAAATGGGATCAGGTTTGAACTAAGCTTTGAGAAAGCTTTTCATATACAACTCCCTCTCCAGTGCTCTCCAGAATCAAATATTCCATAGCCCCACGGAGCCCTGGGCAGCACTACTTTAAGACAGCCTTAAAAGGACCTGCAAAAAGGAGAAATATAAGGAAAGAGAAGATCATCATCTTTTTTTTTAATATTGTTGCAGTCATTCCTCCGAATTTGCAGAAGACAAAGACAGAGCCCAATGTGCCCAGTGCTCCTTAGGCAGGAGTTCTTCTTTGCTCCTTGGAATCACATCAAGTGCACCTTTGGTGCGGAGGTGGCTGTTGGAGTCCCAGAGCTAAAAGCCAACAGTGAGCATGGCAAAGACAAGACACAGAAATTCTTGCAGTGCTTCCTACTTCTCCCCACAGTCTCAAGAGCAACACAGTTATAATTATAGAGATATCCATTTCCCTCACTCCCCATCACACCATAGCGGACCTTAGCACTAATTAACACCAGCCATACCAGTCATTGCTGCCCCAGTGTATTAGTCTTGGAAAGAGATGCAGCAGCTCTTCCCTTCAGCAAGTGCATCCATGTTCCCTGCCTTATTCATTAAACACATGCAGAAAAAGTCCTTGGAAGTTCACATCTCACTCTATGGGATGTATCTTCATTCCGGATGTGATACTAACTATGAGATTTCATGGGGTCCAGTGTGATCGTTACTGCTCCGTTTGAATTGTTAGGGTCAGAAAGAAATAAAGACAGAGATAAACAGACAGACACAGGAAAGAATAAAACCTACCATCCTGCTGCTGCTTCCACCCCTTCTCTGCCAACTAGTCAGCCAGCAAACACAATGCCAGTTGTCTCTTTATATAGTGTCACCAAGGAATAAAAATATGCCTGCTCCAAGTTTAGACAATAGATGCAAGGTTGGAAAAGTGCAGTAATTGGATCCCAATACCATTCCAAGCATCTGTTCCATGCACGCCTTTTGCTTTCACAGAAATAATGCCGCAGATAAGTAGAGTGGGCAGTTGGGAGACAGTTGTACAGCCCTCACAATAAGCTACAGCTGAAGGGGCTTTCCCATGTACTTCTAAATAATGAGCACAGGGCACACACTAAAGAGATTTTAAGTGGACATGGCATCCTGGAAAAGCAGAAAGAGAAACATGCTTCTTGAGAAAATGCAGCGGAAACTGGCAGTAAATCCAGGCACTGAGATGTCTGGTAGCTCCAGAGCCTGGTGTGGGTGTTCAGGGCTCCAGGAAAAGGACTGAGGTTCTGCAGAGGTGCATCTCTAACAGGGAGATATCCTGGAAAAGCACTGCTCTGCAGGTGGCAATCAAGTGATCAGGTCCGGTTTCCCTGAATCTGGCACACATGCCTGAAGTCCAAGGCCCAGACTTTAAGCTACTGCAAATCAAGGGAGAGTCACGGACTTCAAAGCATGAAAAAAGAGATAATGAACATGGTGTTAAGAACAGGAGAAAACAGAAAACAGCACAGGAACCACTAGGGCTGTGTCTCCTGAGGAATGCTCATGGACGTCAATGCATACGCATTCCATTCAATTCATTAATCATGTTTGGCATTATCACAATGAGCCAAAACATTAACCAGTACAAAATGGCACCATTCCACAGTCAAAAAATCGTATTTCCTAAAAGTCTAATCTGTATCTGTGAGAGTATCTATACAGGACAACTGGTGCATTAAAAATAGCAGAAACAATAGGTTTTCAGGAACTTACACTTGTTTACATCAGTCATAACAGCCTTAAGTCACAAAAGTGCTTAACCAACCAACCAACAGATCTTTGAGACAGACATACATTTAATTATCTAGTTGAACAAGGACCTTGCTCTTTCTCCAGGTCCAGCCCCTTGCAGTGCTGTCATCTCTAATCTTAGATTTGACTGCATGCTCTGCAGGGCAAGGACTGTTTTAGCTCTTGTGAAGTACCTTGAACACCTACAGGGATAATTAAGTAATAAATAAGCATAATACAATTCATCTGGCTTTAGCAAAATTGTTGTGGATACAAGTTGGAAGTTAGCCCAGTGTTCATCGGTCTGAATTCAGTGACATTATAGCAATAGCTGGTGTAACACAGCATAAAAATAAATCCCCCGGTCCATCCGCCTGCGACCGCCTGCTGGAGAGCAGAGCCAGGTTTGTAGGCGAGATTGAGAGTGGGAATATGAAAAACTCAAAGCAAGGTTTTTTGAGGGAAATCCTACATAATTTCAAAGGTTCCTTGTGATAAAGACTTATCACGTTCATTGGATTAGGTCCTGATTCAGCAAAGCTGTTAAGCACCCACTTAAACCTTAAGGAAGGAATATTCCCATCGAAATCAGTGGAATGAATCAGTCACTCAATAACAGCCCAGGATTCCATCCTGTCAATTTTGTGTCCATTTTTGGAAGAATACTTATCTTTTCATCCAGCCATTTCATGAGTTTGTCCTAACAGCTCTTTTAGCAGATGTTTTGTACTGTTTCGTTAGGAGTTTTGTTTTCTCTTATCTCGTATATCATCAATCATCATTATGATCATCAATTTGCTCCTTAGTTTTCTAGCTTGATCTGCAGGCATTTTCCAATAGTGCATGTATTTTCTACATTGATCTTTGTCTTTTCACAGAATTTCTATATTAAATGAATTCTTCCAGGCTGTTTTTAAATGACATGACATGCTAGGATAAAACCCACACAATACTGTGTGTTTGTAATGCACGTGTCCTGAGAGACCAGAACCCTCTCTGCTCAGTCTATAAAACGAATCCACAGAGGAATTAAGGGAGACATACATCTTTGCTTTAAAGGTCTGCTTGCTTCTGCAACTGCCTCCAAATTATAGAAAGGCTCCAGACTGGAGAGGGGAGGGAGGGAAGGGGGGAATAACATAAGGACTGAAAAAGAAAGGCTTGAATTTAATTGCCCTAAAAATTTCAATCATTCAATCTGGTAATTAGAGAGCTGGCTGATTCAGAAGGCAATTTCGTTTGAAAAAAAAAAAAAAGAACCCAACAAGATAATTGATGCTAAGTGAATATTTTACCTGAAATATTAAATACCAAACTTAAGTCTGCCTCCAGGGCCCTTTCTGCTACCCCTTTTTGATCTGTCTTTCTGCTCCTTTGTATTTTCCTCTCACATGACTCAACAGAACAGGACACTCCTTCAGAGAATCAGATTGTCACAGGGACAGGTTTATTTGAACTCTCTGTGCTGTGAAGGAGACAACATAATGATTTATTAGTAAAGAAAATAATAATAGGAAGTCTCCCGAGATCCAGCCTGGCTGCAAAGCTCAGTGAGATTTTCCAGTGTTGGATCTCCATGTCCCTCTGGCCACAACCAGGGTTTGATGTCCTACCAAGGGCAAGAGCTTTCTTAATGAGCTTATCAAGTACAGGGTAACAACTTTCTTTATTAACTTAACAACAGTTACCAGAATGTTTCATGTTTAATTCTGGACTCTGTGATGCTGCAAAATGATACTGTGGATGTCAGTGTCACAGGGTCTCTTTGCAGGACAAAGAGCAAAGTTGGTTTTTTGCCCACTGTTCAGAAGACAACTGCTAATTCTCTAATATTAATAGCCTAATAAACAAGGACAGTGTCTCATACACATCTGAAAGGAATATTGCATGCCTGGAAATTAAGTAGATATTAATTTAAACTACATTTATAGATGGAGAAATGATTAAGAAAACACATGTGAATCACACTGGATTCTGGTATCGTGTGCTGTTCTAACTGCTTATCCAGGCACCTTTTTCACACAAGATGCTACACTGTTAGCAATATTAAATTTTAATCTTAAATCACCTTTTTAAGTGAGATTCCACACCTATTACTGCTCAGGAAGACCACATCAAATGTATTCAGGTGCCTTTGCAACTCCCATCTTTGAGAACAATCATGAAAATGTTTCTGATCCATACAACATTCACTGTCTAAAAAGATGCAGAGTACAGGACTGAGTGACAATTGCAGTGACACGGGATGCCAAATGGGATGTGGCCTCTTCTCCTAATTCAGTGGGGACAGAAAAAAAGCCACTAATGCTGAGTATGTTACATAGGAAATGTATAAGTACCTTTGTAAGTATTCTGGCTACTGCAGACTGAGTTCTGAGACCAACATTACGCTTCTGTACACAGTGTTCCTCCATGTCTCTGAGTGCCCACGCCTTCAAAAAAGACATGTGAGAGTTAATTGTATTTGGGAACTGAAAGCGTCCATATCCTGCCAATATGTAAGGACAATCCCCAAACCTTTAGGAGAGATGTATCCCAGCCTTCCTACCAAAGGACTCCACTTTCTACATGCTGACCAGGCTCAATCTCCACATCTGATATCTAATTCAGTGCTGAGGGTAAAGACAAGGCCAGTCCTTGTCTGAAAAGAGGACTCACGTGAGGCCCATCCTGGCACCCTGCACTCTGGCAAGATATAACTTGTGGAATTGCTAACTACTACTGTTCTCTGGCCATGTCACCTATTTCCTCATTGCTTTGTGCTCTAACATCCTCTAAGTCACAGATGTTCATTTATTCTACAGGTGAGGAAGAGATCTACTCAGTGATTTATCCAAATGTAAACAGGGATTAAAAGCAAAGCAGCAAACTGAAGCATTGTCTTGCGAGTCCTGGGAGGTGTGCAAACCATGAATCAGGAGTATAGACCAAGTGCCTCTCAAGCAGGCACTAAAGTTAGAACACCAGCTTATCCCAGCATAGCCACCAGCAAGAACTACCAGGTAGAGGCTGAGATAGATTTCAGCCTCTTCCCTTGAACCACCCACTTTTCCTTAATCACCTTAAATTAACGAGGAGCTCCCCTTCTTTTCACAGCCATGAAGATTCTCTTTTCCTTCCTCCCTACAGTAGCTTTCTTAGTAGCTGATTAAATTCTTGATCCAGAGGACAGGTTACACAGTGCTGCTTACAAAGCCAGTGGCTAAGCTTGGTCTGACTACGGTATTTTGGAGCCTGGCACTGAGGAGAGTCTCGGGAAAGTTAGTCTTACATTCACTGTTTATCAAATTCCCACAGTTCAGGTACAGAATAAAAGAGCTATTGCAGGTGCCTCTGCAGAATTTAAAGTAAATTAAACAGTGCAAATCCCACTGAGGATCTTCTCTCTCTGTTGAGCGGAGACACATACACCTATTTGGAAACTGCCAGGGCTGCTGTAACTGTTAATTAAGTTCTGTGCATTTGTTGTTCAGGACACTGAATCCAAATCTCCTTCTCTGACTTACCTCTCCCTCTCTGAGAATTCATAGCCACTATCTAATCTGACAAAAACTGTGTTCTCTTTTATACTTGGAGGTCACTTTATGTTACTTACAGTGTACTGCATTATGTCAAAAGGCATAACACAACATAATGAAAAGCAGACCAATATAACTCAACCTGACATCAATGACATAAAATGATGTGGTTACTGAAAAATGCACTGTTGTCACTGTTTTGTGTTTTCATCCGATACCTACTTGCAACTCCAACATGGGGCATGTTTGGAGAATTTGGAGAAGGTGGTTATGGACTGAGAATGCCTCATTCTGCTGTGGCTCCCATCATTTTTGCACTGAGATCACTTTGTAGGCTTTGCCAGGGTTCCTCCTGATTTACTCTAGCAAGAATCAGGCTCTGAAAAATCATCACATAAAATGCAATTACATTAGGAAAGCCATCAAGTTGGAAAACGCAGCTCCTGGGAGTAAGGAAATTACAACACTCTTACAGTCCCTGTAACCTTAGCTCTGCCCTCTTGGGTAGTAAATGAGCCCGTACTATTTTTCCTGCAGGATGTCATTTCATTTTGTAGAAGTGTGTAGCAAAGCAGCTGTTCAATATTTCTCTTAACTTCATCACGCAGTCTGTGGTCCCATATCTCATTTGCTGCACATCAACCAAATCCTTTTGTGTGTTAGGTACTTTTCTTCTTCCTGTTTTTATTTGCTCTTCTATT